GAGAAGAGTGCGGATTGAAAACCTTTCAGTTATATGCACAGTTAAACAGAAATGTTTTGAGCCTGGATTTAAACAGCGTCACAGAAGAGTCTGTCTCACATGTTCAGACTGTTCCAGGTTTTAGCTGCATGAACCTGAAACTCTGACTCCCCTTGTTTAGTCCTGACTCTGGGCACCAGCAGGAGGCCGGTCCCTGAGCTCCTCAGAGTGTGAGATGGTTCATATGACACTAACATGTCACAGATGTACTTTGGTGCTCGGCCATGGTGAGACTTGTACACAAGCAGAGCTGCTTTAAAGTCTATTCTCTGAGCCACAGGAGCCAGTGCACAGACCTGAGCACAGGACTGAGCACAGGACTTGAATACAAATTTGATCACAAAAACTAAATTTCTAAACTTTTCCATGACTTTTTCATGACCTAAAGTGAATTTTCCATGACTTTACAACACCTACATGTGTAGAATTGTGAAATGTTAACTCTTTTTACTCACCTTATGGTTTGGTATTATAGTTTTTTTAACATTTAAAATCCTGTCAGTGCATTTACTGTTTTAAACAAATGCGCAGATGTTTGGAAATAATCATAATAGTATCCCTTGTGATAAATCGGTTTAATCTATATTGTGGAACATTCTAGACAAGCAGTAACATCACCTGAAAAGTTAGGGTTGCGCAGTGCACCTTCAAGCCTCGTTAGAATGTCATTACCTTCTCAAAAACATGCCTGGAGTTGTGTTTTGTTCCATTCACACATGTTTGAGTAATCCTGTTCCACCTTGTGAATTGGATTAATTACTATTGTAAATGTATCATTTTGATGCCCAACTTGGTGCACAGATAAATGGATGATGGTTTATGTTTTATAATCATCTAACTGTTCCTTATTTTAGGCTCGCCGTGGCTCCTATGTTTACTAGTGAAGTAACAATATTCAAATCTCTCGGTACGATATTATCACGATATTCATCTCACAGTACGATATTTACTGTGATATTTTGGAGAGGCTGATATAATTGTAGATGGGACACTTTTTTCACCTTGACAAGATTTTGGTGTGAATTATTTCCATCATAATCCCAAGAATTCCTAGCCAGGCTGGCACCAGCTAGTGCCTCCGCTCAATTTTATTTTTCTCCAGTGACTAGGTCAGGAATCAAAATACACTAGACTGTTTGCAAAAACCCCCAGAAGTGCAAGTTTGGGCACCAGCCAATCAGCAAAGAGTCATATATTCAGTGTTGTTAATGATTCCCGAGATCGAGGATTTAAAGCCGGAACAAAGAGAATGTTTGGTGAATTTTATCAAAGAGAAAGATGTCATTGTCCTTCTTCTTATGAGATTTGGGAAAAGTTTAAGACACCAGTTAACCCCATTAGCGGTGCATTACATACGTCACAACCAAATAGCAGCGATTGATTAAATGATAAAAAGTACCTGCCTATTGTCGAGCGAACGAATTCTAAGGCTGCGAGGTCAAACGGTTTCTATGAAGTGGAGCGAAGTAAAACCGTCTGATGAATGAGGCTAAAGTATTCAAGTATAAAACATATTTCTTCATGTTGTCTGCACTGAAATGAATCATGGGATATGTACTTCCCCATGTTTATAAGATGTTGCTTCTATAAAACCATTGAGATGTCATGAAGTGGTGAAGTTAAGCAGTTAAGAGCTGCTTTTTACCTTTCGTCCAGAGAGATTTGCAGTTCCAGGGAGGGGAATTGAGTGATTATAAACTCCCGAAAGGTGGTGTGGTGTGGAGAAGAAAAAGTACTTCATATCGTCTAATCCAAGTACTTTTAAAATATTAGAAGAAAATGATATATATATTTATTTTTTACATCTCTGCCTAATTGGTCTGGTTAGTGTTAACTCTTTCCACTCACCTTATGGTTTGGGATTATAGTTTTTAACATTCAAAATAATGTCAGTCGTCTCTTCATGACTCTCGTAGACTTTCCACGTAAACCTGACACCCCTGACACAGCACTTGCCGTCTGAACACATGCACAAAAAATAATGTAATGTAAAATAAACAATTAAATGAAACCTGTAAACAATAATAATAATAATAAAAGTCTTATTTCACTGTGTTATTATTTCAGTAAAAGTTTCTAAGATGGCACAGGTAACACTTCTCTAATCAGACTCCTGTTCCATGTGTCCATTTTCTGCTGCCAAAAAACTGGACGAGATGCTCCAGAAGTGTGTAAAGTGTGTAAAGTGTTAAGTGTTACTAATGAGAACATGGCCACTAGCCTGGAACTGCTCAAACAAACTCCCCTCAGCGTTTAAACTTCTACTCAAAATCACATTCAACTGCTCTCTTTAAAGTTTTACACACAAAAAGTAAGCTATTAAAGGTGCATTGTGTAACTTTTCTGGTGGAGGGTCTATCAAACAAAGTCATGCACCGAGTTGCGTAATGGGACCCATGAGTTTTACCCACAGGTTTTAATGTTCTGGAATTTTACCAAAGAACCAAAGAAAGAACCAAATAACCAAAGAACTACGAACGAGAGAAAAATAGTTCGTGCTCATCCAGGACGTCCGTTGCCTTAGAAACCCAGAACATGCTGCATAGGTGGGACACTGTATCTCTCCTGTTAAGGTTCATGCAAAAATTGTACACCATCCCTGTCTCAATAAATAAATAAGTGCCATTTCCTGGGCTTTTCCTGTAACGATCGACCAGGCTGAGAGGGACTTTAGTGTATTTATTACATAGAACCATCAGCGGAGGAGATCGGTTTTAGTCCTGGTTTAGTCCTGGTTAAGTCCTGGTTTAGACCGAGTCCAGTCCTGGTTTAGACCTGGTTCGGTCCTGGTGTAGTTCTGGCGATTGCCTCGGTGGTTGGGGTGTGTATATATTTATGCTAATGACACTGGTTTAGTCCTGGTTTAGTCGTGGTTTAGTCCTGGTTTAGTCCTGGTTTAGTCCTGGTGTAGTCCTGGTTCAGTCCTGGTTTAGTCCTGGTTTAGTCTTGGTTTAGTCCTGGTGTAGTCCTGGTTTAGTCCTGGTCTAGTCCTGGTTTAGTCCTGGTGTAGTCCTGGTTTAGTCCTGGTCTAGTCCTGGTTTAGTCCTGGTTTAGTCCTGGTTTAGTCCTGGTGTAGTCCTGGTTCAGTCCTTTTTTAGTCCTGGTTCAGTCCTGGTTTAGTCCTGGAGTAGTCCTGGTTCAGTCCTGGTTCAGTTCTGGTTCAGTCCTGGTTCAGTCCTGGTTTAGACCTGTTTTAGTCCTGGTGTAGTCCTGGTTTAGTCCTGGTGTAGTCCTGGTTTAGTCCTGGTTCAGTCCTGGTTTAGTCCTGGTTTAGTCCTGGTTCAGTCCTGGTTCAGTCCTGGTTCAGTTCTGGTTCAGTCCTGGTTCAGTCCTGGTTTAGTCCTGGTTTAGACCTGGTTTAGTCCTGGTGTAGTCCTGTTTAGTCCTGGTTAGTCCTGGTTTAGTCCTGGTTTAGTCCTGGTTCAGTCCTGGTGTAGTCCTGGTTCAGTCCTGGTTTAGTCCTGGTTCAGTCCTGGTTCAGTCCTGGTTTAGTCCTGGTGTAGTCCTGGTTCAGTCCTGGTGTAGTCCTGGTTCAGTCCTGGTTTAGTCCTGGTTTAGTCCTGGTTCAGTCCTGGTTTAGTCCTGGTTCAGTCCTGGCTTGGTGGGCTGTCGGACTAATGGGCTGACCCCGATTTATCATGAGCACTGGTGGGTAACGGGTGGAATGTTAACGGGTCCAGGCGGGTTCAGGTTTAACTTTGATAGAATCATGAGTTAACAGGCAGGTGTGGTGCTGAACCGCGCAGGTGTGGGTCTCCAAAAATGAACCCATGCAGGACTCTGCCATCAAACGCTTTTCTTTAGTCCTAGTTTCGTCCTGGTTTAGACCTGGTTTAGTCCTGGTTTAAGTCTTGGTTTTAGTCCTGGTTTAAGTCTTGGTTTTAGTCCTGGTTTAAGTCTTGGTTTTAGTCCTGGTTTAAGTCTTGGTTTTTGTCCTGGTTTTAGACCTGGTTTAGACCTAGTTTAGTCCTGGTTTAGACCTGGTTTTAGTCCTGGTTTAGACCTGGTTTTAGTCCTGGTTTAGACCTGGTTTTAGTCCTGGTTTAGTCCTGGTTTAGACCTGGTTTTAGTCCTGGTTTTAGACCTGGTTTAGACCTGGTTTTAGTCCTGGTTTAGACCTGGTTTTAGTCCTGGTTTAGACCTGGTTTAGTCCTGGTTTTGACCTGGTTTTAGTCCTGGTTTTGACCTGGTTTTAGTCCTGGTTTTAGTCCTCGTTTATCCCAAAATGTGAAAACAGGAAAATACCGCCCTGTAATCCATTTATTTCAACAAAGTAACTGTAATCCAATTACCACTCACTGAAACAGTAACTGTAACCGAATACAGTTACTCATTATTAGTACTCTGATTACTTAACTCCGGTACATGTAATCTGTTACTCCTCAACACTGCTCGTGGGCCAAATATAATTATATAGTGTATTCTGATTCCTGACCTAGTCGCTGGAGAGAAATGAAACTGAGTGGAGGCACTAGGTGGCGCCAGTATGACTACAAATTGGTAGCTCTGTGGTATTTTCGTTTGGTAAAGGTAACTCACTGGGGAAAAAAGATTGGAGACCCCTGCTTTAGCCTATATAGTATTTCCACTATTCTTCCTTCCCACTCTCTCCATCTCTTGTCTTTCCTCCACTAATGAGCAGCGTATCCCCTCCTCCTCCTCCTCCTCCTCTTCCTCCCTATAAAAACACGCACGCTTCACTTTTATCTCTACGCCCCCTCCTTAAACCCCGCCCCTTTTACCTTACACGGTCACGGTTTCCTTCCAGGGCTCTTCAGATGCTCGTGTAGCGGGAGACATCCGCACACACTCGGACCGATCTCCTCCGCGCTGCGCTCGCCTCACCGTCCGCTCCACGCACCCGGGACCAGCGCGATGTGATCCGACAGGCGCCACTCGTGGATTAGCGTGCGCGGACTTTGCTGATTGAACTGAATGACTTATTTTTCGTGCGTGGTTTGCGAATTGTGTACGAAAAAAAGTGGCATGTGTTTGTTCACTCGTCTTGGGTCATGGGAACTGCGGTATCCAAAAGGAAGAATTTGAGGAGTGACGCGATTTCTTCCGTTGCAGCAAAAGTTCGGTAAGTCTCAAAATGTATGGCTTTTGAATGCGCTATTTTTTATTGTACTTATTTTATTTGTTTGGCATTGGATTGATTGAAGTGTGCACTGGTTTTCTTTGCGTTATCTGCAGAATTGTGTAGGGTAGGGGCATGCAAGTCCACGCTTTTTTAGTTTTTATTTTCCATGCGTAAAAATGAGTTGGCTGCGCGTAGTGATACGAGTTTGAAAACAACTTGACATGCTAGTTTTATTTAGAATTTACACATAATGTCGTTCATTTCCTGGTGATTTTATTTTTATTTTATTTTTTTTGATTATATATTTTTTTTCGTGAAGGGTAGAATGCATACCACGCTTTTTATTTTTTTATTTTCATGGAAGCGTAAAAATGAGTTTACTGTGCGTTGTGATACGAGACTTGCTACTTTTATTTTGATACAACCAGGATCTGGCCCTATTTTTTGTCGAAAGTTCCACATTTGTTGGTTGAAATCAGTTTTCAGAATGTCCTATATTATTCAATTCATTTTATTTCACTTATTCCGTATTTTTTAAATATATCAATCTTACATTTTGAGCTATAGATCCAATTCTGGTTTAGAATCCCACTTGTTTTGCTCTCTAGGTTTGGTTCATTACATTCCTTGGTTTCAGTCTGTTGTTGTTGTTGACGACGTTTTGAGGACTTTATACTGTTCAGAGGACAGACAAATATTTAGTTTTGACTTCTTAACTGCTATGGTGACAGTCTTGAATTTTAATCATTCTAAAAATGATTAAAATATCATCAAATTACCACTCTGTTTTTCATGAAGTCGCCCCTTTCATCCTTTTTCCACAACTTGCTTAGCTTACAATACCATATACATATTTTTTTGCCCTGAATGTTTACCTTTTTAACTTTTGGCTTCATTTAGTACTAATTAACAGCTCCCTCTAAGTACACCTTAAGTACTTTTTATTGCCATGCGTAGCCTACATCTTTGCTTGTGAAATACCATACAAAAAGCTATTCTATTGGACATTTTATTTGTCATTTTTAGTGTCATTTGTGAACTGTCCCTTGTCATGAACTGAAGTGGACAATGGTGCATCGTGTGCACACAGTGTTCTCACACCTTCTGACCTAATTTCACCTTTTTAGAATCCATTGTTCTGCTGTTCTGTTCTGAATGTTCCGTGGTGTGACTTTAAACTTTTCCATCCAGCATTTATTCACTGCGTGTGTTTCTATTGCATAAAAATACAATCATTCCTTCTGTGAATAAGGGCGATTTTCCACAGATCTGAACTGTAATGTAGCGTAGTGCTGTAACCTGCTCGTCTCCCTTGCGATAAATAGGTGTAATCTATATTGTGGAACATTCTAGACAAAGCAATAACATCACCATGGAGACGAGAACATAGTGGACCCTCCACTTGAAAAGTTAGGGTTGCGCAGTGCACCTTTTAAGCCACGTTAGAATGTCGTTACCTCCTCAAAAACATGTCTGGGGTTGTGTTTTGTTTCATTCACACGTGTTTGAGTAATCCTGTTCCACCTTGTGATGTCATGAAGTGGTAGTTTTCAAGTTAACGGCTGCTTTTTACCTTTTGTTCAGGTCCAGAGCTGGAAATTGAGTAAAGAAAGGTGGTAAGGTGTGGAGAAGAAAAAAAGAAAAAGTACTTGATATCATCTAATCTAAGTGCATTTAAATTATTAGTAGTAATGCAGAAATAAAACAATATATACTTACTTTTTTTGGTAATGTTTTGGGGGTTTTTTGCGTCTCGGCCTAGTTGGACTGGTTCAGTGAAGTGTAAAATTGAGCACATTTTGGCTTTTTGTGGAAGCTAACATTTGAATATTCAGTTTGTTGTGTATAAAAAAAAAAATAAATGTACTCTGTGTGTAACGACATCTAAGTCTCACGATACGATATCATCATGGTATGAACCTCACAGTACGATATTTATTGCGATATCGTGGTGAAGAGACTCACGATTAGGGATGTAACAATATCCAAATCTCTCAGTACGACATTTTCACGATATACATCTCACGGTACGATATTTATTGTGATATTTTATGGAGGCTAAACGGCTAAATCTGTTAATATATTTTTTCCTCATAAAACGATTTGACAAGACTTAATCGAAAGAACTAAGACTTAAAAGTGCTTAGAACTGTTATTTCTTCTTGTAGTCTGCACTGAAATGGAGCAAAGGATCATGGTCTATGTAGTTCCCTCTGTCTTTTTTTTACATATTGTTGCACCATAACTCTTCATTTAAGCAAAGAGACTTGTAATTCCATATATTATGATGGTCCACGATATTATTATGAGAACTTTGACGATACGATATCACGATGTTTCAGTTATTGTTACATCCCTAATATGTACATTAGAGCTGGGTATCATTAAGAAGTTGCCGATACGATACATACCTTGATACACAGGCCACGATACAATACATATCTTGATACAGTGCACTTTCGGTTCGATACGATATATTTCAAATCAATTCGATACGGTTCAATAATTAAAAAAAAAAGCTAAATCACGACTCTAAAAGTGATTGTTAAACCACTTTTTGCGCAAAGTTCATCTGAAAAATGCCCATTTTAATCATCGAAACAGTGAAAATGTCAAATGTGTTGCATAAAAAAAGATTTCTTCCTCTGAACAAGCAACAAAACTAGCCCTGTAACAAAATAATTAGTGAAAATATACCCCAAAATACTCTTGGCGATATATCGATACAGCAGCCCACGATATTAATACTGTATCATCACATTAAACGATACAATATATCGATACATCAATATTTTTGCTCAGCCCTAATGTACGTATGTTCAAATGAGGTTGCACAGTCATATTTCTGCACTTTTGTTGGTCATTTCATATGTATCTTTTACTAAAAGGTGTTTTCTGTCCGTCACCTGCTTGTTTCTATGGGTATGTCGGAATTTTGGAATGTTCCACAGTGTGACATTAAACAGCTTTACTTTACATTCATTCAGTTACAGGTGGTTTTATTGCTCAAGAATACCTAGAAAAACAGACATTCTGACTGTGAGTGGGGTCACCTCTCCACAGATCTGACCTGTAACTTGGTCTGGTTTGATCTCCATGAAGATAGAAAGATTTAATGCCATACTGTGAAACATTCCTGACAAAGCAATATTATATATTTTAAAGGTGCACTCTGCAACTTTTCTCTTTTCTGCTTTTCTCCATGGACATGTTATTGTTTTGTCTGGAATGTTTCACAGTATGGCATTAAATCTTTCGATCTTCATGGAGACCAAACCAGACCATGTTACAGGTCAGATCTGTGGAGAGGCGACCCCGCTCACAGTCAGAACGCCTGTTTTTCTAGGCATTTTTGAGCTAAAAAAAACAAACACCTGTAATTGGATAAATGTAAAGTCGAGCTCTTTAATGTCATTCTGTGGAACATTCCAGGCAGCACAATGACATATCCGTAGAAACAAGAAGGCGACGGACTTCCTACCAAAAAGTTTAAACGTTTAAATATAGAGTTTGATGTCAGAGTCTCTTCTGTAACTCCCATATCACCCAAGCAAACTCATTTTTTTCTTTCTTCGAGAATCTGTTCACATGATTCGGTGTGAGTTTGAGCTCCTGCTGCTGCGATCACTGACATTTCCAACACATGCGTCAGTCCCTGAAGGTCTCATGTCACGGTGCGTTCGCTGGGCTTTAGTGTGAGTAATGTCCAGCCGCTCGCCCACGCACTGACCTCAGAGACGGGATCAGCATACACAGCAAAGGAGAGTCCTGCTGATTGGTCAATACACAGAATCTTCATCAATTATGTCGTTATTGACATTTTTATTGCTTCCAGTTAAAGGTGAGACGAGGTGACAAAGTGACTTCAGCGGGCCAAGTTATAGGTCAGATCTGTGGAGTGTTGAGTCGATTCAGTTTTTTCAAGTAGTTTTTTAATATACTGTATATAATAAATGCAAAGTTGACACCATTTATATCACCATTTTTACACAAATCTTGAGTATTTAGGCTGAGTTCTTCTCTCAAACCAAAAACACTCTGTTCCAACTTGTGATGTCATGTGGCAATACCGGAAGTGCTCCATCGTGTTTTTAAACTCCATACACCTTCACTAGAATCATTTGGAAAACTCAAGCCCTGAAATTGCTGATCTCTACTGAATTAAAGGTCAAAGGTAGCTGAAAAAATTACCATTTCGTGACATCAGAAGGTGGAACAGAGCATTTCGAGCTCTGGAGATGTAGACGGACTAATAATAAAGGGTCACTCAAACATGTGTGAATGAAACAAAACACAACTCTAGGTCTGTTTCTGATGATGCAACAACATTCTAACATGGAGCCCATTTTGCACTAGTCTGATTCATCAGACAGTTTCACTTCATGGAAACTGTCTGACCTTGCAGCATTAGAATTCATTTGTTCGACGGTAGGCGGGTACTTTTTTGTTTAACCAATCACTCCTATTTGGTCATGGTATATGTAATGCACTGCTAACGGGGTTAACTGGTATATTAAGCTTTTCCCAAATCCTATAGGAAGAAGGGCAATTACGTCTTTCCCCTTGATAAAATTCACCAAACATTCTCTTTGTTCCAGTGTGGTAGATGATTTTGACCCTGCGGTGAGGCAACCCCAGGGTCAACAGACTGTATAGTATTTTGACCCTGGGGTCAGAATCCTATTATGGTATGAATATTGACCCCCCCCTATGAAAATCTATATTTTATTAATAAAAAACTTGAATTCTATAGAAAAACTTTGAATATTAATACTATATCTGCAAATTAAAACCTATTGATATATTTAACCGCCCAATATGTTTATTATAGTTATTATGATGTAAAGTAAGATGTAAAACAATATATATTAAAAATAAATTACATGAGAAATAATGATCATATAAGTAACTACTGAAGAAAAAAGTAAGGGGAGTCAAAATCATATAGGGGGGGTCACTTTACTATAGCGGTATATTGACAATATACTATGGGGTTTAAA